CCCCCTCCCTCACGCGCGTCGCCGCCGTCGCCGTTCACTGTTCATCCTCGGCGCATCCATGCTGTCTCAGCCCCGTCGTCAATTTTGGCCATTGGCCTCCGAGGTATGAGCTAACCCCACTGACCTCCACTAATTTCGGCACACCATCTAGATCCGCCCCTGGGAGGGGTTACTAGACCCGTATAATTATACTGCTATTGGGCACACGCTGCAATTTTTGATTGGTAGAGGATTCGATTGAGACTTCGGGTCATATGATATCTCGAATTTTATCAAACATGATGTGATGATTCATTCGTTTCCCGCTCAAATTTGTTTCTCGTACTGATGGTTAAAATGTTTCCTTATTGCAGGTGCGTCAGCCCTAGGAGGGGAGAAAATTTCAGAAGCCAAGAAAGGTCTCACGAGCAGAGTAGGGGAGGACTTTGTTAGTGGACTCAGAGCATTGCACGTGCTTGTAGATGGAGAGGATAACCACCAACCCGTTCTATACCTCTGGAATCCCAGTAACTGTGCCATCACCTCTGCCTTCAGCCACCATGGATGAAAGCTTTCCGAGGCTTCCAGATGCGCAGAATGTTTTGCTGGAGAGGGAACTGAGAAGAACCCCTCTCCCGCCTCATCAAAGTACTGTTGCTCCTATTTGCGGGCAGTTTCACCCCAGTACTGGATCTGTCGGGCCTTTGCGTTCGCCCCCGGCTGTAAGGTTCTCTTCAGTTCTGAACCCTGAGCAATACAGCGGTGCCAATCCTTACATTTCTCAGACGCCAAGCACTGGAAGTTCTTCTGCGATGATTTATGGATCACACCATGAAGGCTTTGAACCTACTTTTAATGATTTTCCAAGAGATGTTGGACCAACGTGGTGCCCTGATCCAGTTGAGAGCATGCTTGGATTCTCCGATGATGTCCCTGTTGGAAACAATTTGGCTGGCATCAGTCCTATTGCAGCTACAGATGAGCTTGCTAAGCAGACTGAATGGTGGACGGATTTCATGAATGACGACTGGAAGGACATTGCTGACAACGCAGGTGCGGCTAAAACTCAACCACAGGTATGCTGACTGATTCTGCTATTTTGGTGGGTTGACTTGAGATGTGCATCTGCTCTTCTTTAACGAATGAACTATGCAAGTATGCAACAAACATTAAAATCAATAAGAGCCAAGCTCGAATAAAGCTTGAGATTAGTTTAGAGCATGCTAGTTTTGTGAACTGAACTGAAGAATAAACATGGACACGTTCGCGCCTTGATTAGGCTTGGTTTCTGTCGTGGCATTCTTTGAAATGATAATATACATTTCAAATGTATACAAGTCAAAACTGGTTAAGCCCAGTGTGATCCCAAATTTTGTTTCAGGTTGAAACTAGGCATAGGCTTAGCGCAGTGTACACACAGCCAGATTTCAGCTGAGCTTGAATTCAAGCTTATCTTTGGCTGGGTTTTATCTTTTCTTGGTATCCCTAACTGCAGCATTCGGTATAGCTTAGCAAATTTCTTTAGTGTTACTCTTCTAGATATTGTAAACATGATACTAAGTGTTGACACATGCTTTCGCACAGGCTGGACCGCCTGTGCAATCATCGATTTCAGTTCACCAATCAGCCAGTCAGCAAGCTGGTACAACTTCAGTTCACCAACCAGCCCTCCAGCAAATAGTTACAACTCAATCTATAGAATCATCTGTAGTTGCTGCACCCTCACCCTCTGCCAGCTCCAACACCTCCAAGACACGCATGAGGTGGACTCCTGAACTTCATGAGCGTTTTGTGGACGCTGTCAATCTGCTTGGTGGCAGTGAAAGTATGTATTGTTTGAAGAGATTTTTTTCTCCATTCATCGAACAGATGAGTTTTGACATTTATTTGATTTATTTGATATTATTGCAGAAGCTACTCCAAAGGGGGTGCTAAAGCTAATGAAGGCAGATAATTTGACCATTTATCATGTAAAAAGTCATCTTCAGGTCTGTTGGTTGGCTGCTATTGCTGGGTATAATTGAGACAAGCCAGAATTGCTGATTTGATTTGACTTAAACTTTTTTTTTTGCAGAAGTACAGAACTGCCCGATATAGACCAGAATTATCTGAAGGTATGCCTTTTTCCATTTTCAATATGCTATATTTTCTGTATATTTCCTGCAGCGGTCTCTTCAAATACTCTATCATGTTCATCAATTTGAGATTTTCAGGTACATCAGAAAGGTTGGAAGCCTCAAAAGAGGAGTTGCCATCTATAGACCTTAAAGGGTAAGTTTGCAATCTATGTGAAATTCAATTAACCTATGTTGATGATACTGATGTCACGTACGACAAGAAAACTGAATGGTTTTCTGTGTTTTCTTTTACTCCCTCGAATCCAAATTAATTGGCGCTGCTATAGTACAACTTTGGGAGTACAGAAATTTCTGTACTGGAAACCGTATCCCATCATAATGTCAGCAAAACTGACCCAGTGATTCAGGATAATGAAAAAGGTGTTGCTTGCAATAAAAATGAGCAAACAGTTTGCAGTAACATAGACGTCATTTGGTTGAGCAGTACTACTGGTACTCCGGTTAGGCCATCACTATCAATCACAAGTTTACAACACTATACTCCGTGCTGAAATCGATTCATCAATATTCATGCTCTCATATTACTTCTTGGATGATTGTGTTCTATATGTGGTTTCATCCTGTGACATGTATTTGGCCTTTAAACTTCATCTTCCAATTTCTAGCCTTTTTAATTGTATACCTTCTTGCTGAATTTTTACTGTAAATATGGAACGGCTTACTGTTTTCGCCAAGCTGATTGGTATCTTTCCACAAATTATTTAGCTGTTCCTACTGGATTTTGAGCATTAGTTCATGTATCCCTGCAGGAATTTTGATCTGACTGAAGCATTACGTCTCCAGTTAGAACTTCAAAAGCGGCTCCATGAACAGCTTGAGGTATGTACCAAATAGTTCTATCATGATTTAGGTATCTTCTGCTGAGGGTGAGTTTAAAATCTCATTGCTTATGGGTTTCTGGGACTTTGATATTTGACATGCTTGCAGTTAGTTCCACTTTGGAATAAGATAAGCAAGCAACAATATAGTACCACCCTCTGTCCGAATTACCTGTCTTCATCTTTGTGGGCATGGAAGTGGGAATGAGTTAATGTCTTTAGCTTTTGACATGGCCTTATTAATTGTATAATCAACTCTTTAACATGCCTTTTTTGAACGAAAGTCAACACATCTAATAAGTAGTAGTGGCATTAGTTAAAAAGGTTCTCACGGAAAAAAACTTTCTGTAATGGGATCTGTTGGTATAACTTGGAGTGGTAGTAACACAAGTTATTCTAGTTACCCATCATTATGTTTTACTCTGCAAATTGATATTTTCTAAATTCAGAAATTTTCAATTTGAGATTTTTATTTGCTAGGATTAACTGTGAAGTACTCTCATGCTAGGCTGTTTCAGATCTAATTTTGTTGATGATAAGGAGAGTAATGCCATCGTTCAAAAAAAGATAATAACCAGATTATGTAAAGTAATCAAATAGACTAAAAAAACTTAACAGATTCGTTGGACTACATATATGACTATATGTACTAACATATTGTAACGGCAACAGAAATAATGTCTGGTTTTATTAGAAGTAGATAATTTCCTTTTTTGGGCGAAAGTATGGTAAATATTTTACCAAGTTAATTCATTGGGTGATGAAGCTTTGGAGTTTGGGCATACTCGTATCTTGCCATTGGATGGGGCCAGCAAAAATTGGAATCGAGTCCGACACAATAAGAGATCGTAAGTGGCTCTCCCTTCAGCCCAGTCTCTCTGCTTGGAGTCATGCACACCTATCCAGCCCTTCGATCAACTGCATTGTCAACACCAACAGTTCAACACCTCCGTCAGCTTGTACCGGTGTGGCCAACATTGGAGTAGTTCGCTGCCTGTGCTTGCAGCTTACTCCAGAATTTGCGGTACTGTGATATCCCCCTCCTGCCTCCTGTGGCTGCCATGGACATCTGCACCAATCTGAAATAAATAGCCTCCAGATCCTCTTGGTGAGAGTTGTTGTCACCTCCGTGCTCCATCTCCATCTTACCGACGCTACCACTTTAAGGCACACTGCTGTCACCGCTGGCAAATCAAGCGATGGTTGTGGCGAATCGGGTGGCTTTGGCATCTGAGGAGACGAGGATTTGTAAGAAGAGATGTAAGGACGGGACAGAACAGTGGTGAGTCACGTGAGGGATTTCCCTACTTTTTGTGTTGGTTTGGGTCCTACAAAGAGGTGGTGCATAGTGAGAGGTCAAACACGACTACATGAGATGCCATTAAGCATGAAGTAGCTAAATTGACACTCCCCGTCTTTGTTACTGGACAAACTATGAAAACTTTTGTGTTTGCTGTCACTATCTCGAATTCTCGATCACATTATGCCTCAGCAGCTAGGCGGAATAAAGGGCTGTTTGACTAGCGGAAAATATGTCATAGAGGCTTAGAGCTGCTTACCCAAGTGACTTTGTTTAATTCATTCACGTCAGCAAGAATGGTTAATGCCTTAATGTGCCGGCTACTTTAAATCAGATTTCTCCATTGGTAGTTTCATACATGTTTTGCTATGCCTATTTCATACTGTACATGTTTTGCTATGTCACGGATTTCCATCTTTTCTAAATATTCTTAGGGGTCTCTTGGTTTCGAATATTATCAGTGAGCTTCCAGTGTCATCGAATTTTGTTCTACACCCTTTTGGTAAACATTGCTACAAACGTTAGCTGTGTAGGTAGTCTCTTCATCTAGGCACTTGGATAGCTTCCTACGGAACGCAGGGCACTAGAATGTGCAAAGCCTTAGATAGGTCAGTTTAGTACATGTACACATTTTAATAGAAACAACAAAGTGCTGAGCTTAATTCTTGTTCCCAATTCTTTTAGAACCCAAATCGTAAGTTTCATCAGTGTCTAGGATGTGGTAGTATTTGGATCACGAGAAGAAAGTCAGGCCAGCACTGAAGTGAATTTTGCCACTCATGTTGTTTACAGCATGTTGTTTTTGTTTGTGTGCACGGATGGTACAAGGTATTGCTTTTTTTTTTTGAACTTCTCTGCTTTGATTGTGCCTAGTTCTCTGAGATTCTGACCAGAGTAGTATTGAGCTGTAAACATGATTTTGTTCTCCCGTGGGAACACTTTCTGGAAATCCCTCTGGGAACTGGAATTTGCAAAACCAACCAGATTTCTATTAAATCATTAGTTATTCATAGAAAGTTAAATACTTTTTACATGCATAATTAAAATTAGAGTTAATGTTTTGGGTTGGTATAAAGTATAAACTGCCGACAACCGCTTCTGGGTTGAATTTAAGCCATTTAACAGCGCACCAGTTCGCTGGGAATCATCAGGCAGTAACATGGGAATACCTTTTGTAACTTTGACCTTACTTTGGTTCCATATCCTTGGCTGCACCGCAGGTACAAAGAAGTCTGCAGCTGAGAATCGAGGAGCAAGGGAAGTGCCTTCAGATTATGATCGAGCAGCAATGCAATCCTGCTGCAGACAAGGCGCTGGATGCGTCAACCTCGGTAGAAGGATCAAAGTTATCTTGTGACCCCCCAGAATCTTCTACCGGAAAGGATGTTCCAAGCAGCAGTCAAAATGGAACAACCGAGCAAGCAGGTATTAGACATGGACAGAAGTCTTTTGTATGTTTGCTATACCAATCTTAATTATGACAAGTTCTTGTAGATTATTGATTTTCAACTTTCTGTTTCGGAATCAGGTGACAAGGAATGAAGATCTAACCATGCTCGCCTGAAGATGTGAACCCCACTAGCCATGAATTTGACATCAATTTGACTGGTTGCTGCCAAACTATAGAATCAAGCCGGTCTTTTATCTTTCTGGGAGAAAGGGGTGAGCATTTCTATGAACTAGGTTTAGTTGTACAGTACCCACAGTCACAGAAGCGATGATTCCGTGCCATGTGGATGATCTAGGTTTCCAGAAGGCAGCGCAAGCAAATTCACACTGATGTACTGTTTTGAGGGGGTTTGACTTCTTGCTTTCGCTGTTGTTAGGGATGCAAAATAGCATCTTAGGCATTTGATTATGCACTAATCCCAGTATTTGTTATATTCTCTGCCACCTCTTGTGTTTGGAGCATGTTTTATGGTACCAAACACGGCCAGGATGTATTTACATTCATTTCTTACTTTCAGCTAAAAGTGTCCGCAAGGGAGCAAATCCTGTAAGCCCTGTGGCTTCGTATTTAAGTGACTGCGTGAAGAAAGCAGTGTTGGATTTTGAATGGTCCCTGGTTACCTGTGTTGAAATCCATCCTAAGAGTAGCTCTGGCAGCAGTTAGCACTGATAGTTTGCCGTTGCAAAATTTTGATTTTTGGATCAAACCATTTTTCGTTCTTATGCAAACAAAGGGTGATCTTTTTTCCTTCAAAAGATAAAAGAAGTTGCTCCTTGGGTCATTGTTATGCTGTACCTCTAAAGAGGAAGAACTGTGTATTCTCCTTCAAAATATTCAGAAAAGAACTGTAACAAATAAGGTAATCAAGAATATTTCAAAAATCCAATAAAAAATTTGAATGCATGTTATTTTTAGGATTCCAAGGTTCTAAAGTGTCATCTTTCTATACTTTCCAAAATCTAATAAATCAATGGAATCCCATATGAGACACGTTTGGTTACCTGCATTAGGTTGGGCTAGGCCCGCGTGGGCAGAATTTGGCCCTTTTGGTTGCTTGGGTCGCGCAATTCGTGGCTTGCACTCGAGCCACGTGTGGAGAGCGCGTGCACGCCTGGGAAAGCGCGGGAGACGACGCGACGGCTCATAACTCCCCACGCCCCCTCCCATCACCTCCCTCGCTAGTTCACACCCACTTACTCTCTCTCACCTCATCACCCGTTTGGTTTCTCCGATGGCCATGCCGCCATCTTGCCACGCCCCACCCACTCCGGTCATCGCCGGCAGCAATCCCATCCAAGAGAGGTGGATGGCCGGCCTCCCTGTAGCCAGAGTAGATCTGGCGGCGGCACTGCGAGCTCCCTCCCCTTTCTGCATCATGCCGTCGCTCCGGGCCAATGTAGCGTCGGCGTCGGTCGCTTCGGCTCCGCCACCGGAGCCGGTGGTCCGCTCTGTCGGCTCAAACCTAGCGGGGATCCAATACTCGTCGGCGCAGTCCTTTGTAGGCCCCTCTTATGGGGGTATTTTTTTATCCCCATAAGAGGGGGTTTCTCCTCTGCGTCTAGTGCAAGGGAAGCGAAGCTCCAGGACACCGGCGTCATCTTCAAGCCGGCGCAGGACGAGATGCACGGCCACGACCCTCGGAATGGCCGGGTCCTCTTCATCGGCGGCGGCATCACCCCTCTTCCCGCCGGGTTTTTCACCACGGCCGGCATACGCTACACCGGCAACCCCCACTGTAAGCTCTCAAATCTCCCTCTGCTTCGTACTTAGGGTTCTTAAGGTAGTTCTAAGTGTGTTAATTTAGATTGTGGCCCGTACATTTGACCTGATTCGATCTGATTTGACTGGATTCGACCGGATTCGATCAGAATCCACTGTTTTGGGGATGAACCAGAGTGCATGCGTACTTTGTTCATCCCACATGGCTAGATTGTTCATAATGCAGTGTTAGTTTGCATCGTTTTAGTGCCACATTGTTATTTTGTACTGCCAAATTGTTAGTTTGTAGTGGCGCATTGTTACTTTGCACTGCCACCTTGTTAGTTCTTAGTGTTGTTACTAGTATATATGCTACTGTTCTTCTTCTTCTTGTTAGTTCTTAGTGCTCCTCTTGCTCTTGTTGCTAGGGTGCATGAGTGCATGTGGCATGCAAGTAGGACATACCTGAAATACTGTTCAAGATATCTTCCGATAGTCCAAAAAATTGGCCGACTAATCGCTTATCCAAGTCTGACCGATAAGATAAATCTGCCGATAAATCAACCGAAATGGCGATAAATCGGCTGATATGCCGATAAAATGGCTGATTTACCCTTTATCATGGGTCGACCAACAAGTTCCCGATAAGCGATATCCCCAACATTGCCTGAATGCAAAAAATAGTAGGTGCAAGTAGGACATGTGAGTGGTGGCTTCATCCGATGAGTGTTAGCACTGATAACTATAAGCACTGATCATGCGTTAGTAGTGATCATTGTAAGTTGTGTTCTGTGAGCATAAATGATGTCCTACTTGTTAGCTTTGATCATGTGTCATATGTTGCTAACTGATGTCCATCTTGCTGACAAGATAATCACTGGCGGAGCTACATGTGTTCATGGAGGGGCCATGGCCCCCCAACCTGAATAAAATGTCTGAAGGAATTCTTTTTGGAAGTGCTTAATTAGAAAAAGTATAGTTTTTGCCCCCCTCAAGATTTTTCTATTTGCCTTTCACCCCTCCAACATTTCTTCTCTAGCTCCGCCACTGAAGATAATGAAGACGAAGTGGGACAGAGCCGGTGGTGGTGCGCAGGTCGTCGTCGGTGTAGAGGGGACGGAGGACCTCATCCCCACCAACTGGTGGCTGAAGAGGGTGGTGCTCCTTGGCAGGGTGGACTACATGAGGATGCTGTTGGGCGCTGGCAGGAGGCCGAGGACCGGCCACGAGGAGGGTGCACGGGAACCTATCAGGTTCTACGTGCAGATCAGTGACCAGGAGGATATTGCCATGCTGATCATCCCGCATAAATTCAGACTGGTGATGAAGCAATGGCTGGTCAGTGGCCCTCCTCGCGTCGTCAGCCTCTCCACCAACAAGTGGTGCGAGTTTGGGGTCTAGGTGCAGATGTTCAAGGGGCACATGGTGCTGGGGCACAGCTTGTCGTCTTCAAGCTCTCCGCCTTGGAGCTGAAGATGCAGATCTTCAACGCCAACAGCTCCAACATCTGCACTGTCCGATGCTTGAAGCACATCTGCGTCGGCGACATCACTCAGGCCCTCTAGTTCGTTTGTCAAGTCTGATCTCTCATGCTATATAGTTTGTTTCTCACTGAAGTAGTGTAGGTTTGAATTGAAGCCCGATCGTCTCTTTTGCTGTGAGCTTGTGTATATATTGGCCGGGGAGCAGCACCCTGGGGTCTAGCAGGGGCATGGGATGCCCCGTTGTTTTAAAACGTATGCCTAGTAGTACTTACTGCATGTTCTTGGTTTGTTCTTGTTGCGTTCTTGCTTAGTTGTTGCTGCTGATGATCAGTGTGTGTTGTGTGTTGACAACTGGGTGGTAAGTCCATCATATTTGAAAGGGGTGAGCAGATCAAGAACTTACACACAACCAATCAGCTGTGCTCACAAACATAGGCAATCAAACAACATGACCCAGCCGGGCCTTGATGCAATGCAGGCCCAATCAACATGCAGATGTTGGTTTTTTGCGTGCATATGCTCAGCTAGGCCCAACTGGGACAAGTATGCAAAGTGACAAAAAACGGTGCAAGTAACCAAACGCGTCCATGATGCCCCGCAGCCCGAAAGTCACCAATAGTAACTACTCACATTTTCTTTCCTTTGGAAAGGGAGGGCATACAATTTAAGACAACTTTTTATTGTAAGATGTTTTTAGAGTTGACTCTGCTAGGCATGAAAAGTTGCAAGTGCTCGGCTTTGTGCATTGTACCAGCACTGCTCCACTGCTTAGCATAGTTGTGTTTAACCAAGCGGCAAGTACCAAAGGAGAGAGCACTGCTAGTGCTACATGCCTTGGCCTTGGTAAGTTGGATTTCGGTGCAGGCAGCAATGCTTCAGACCATCAGTGTTGTTGTGGCCCAACCGGCCGGTTGTGGCCTTGCAGACTTGTGGTTGATGATGAGTTAATAGGAGGAGCCTTTGGCCTGGAGCTCCCTACAGTGGACTCATTGGATGCCCCTCCCGGTGTGTTTACTGCGTCTGCCACCCATCCTGACGGCCACAGGAAAGACTGCTGCCAATGCCAATGCCATCTTCAAACGGAAACAAATTTGAAAAACTTACCCACACACCAAAGGTGCAGCTCTGTAGATCGTGCTTTACGTTACGTTCTCTACGGTTCACCGAGACAGAAGAAGATGCACCAGCCGGATAAAGTTCTTACATGTCAACGAGTACAGGAAAAGATGATCTTGGCGGCGAGTTCTCTCTGCAGTTTCATGGTCCAAGGGTTACCAACTTTTACCACTGCACGAGTACTCGTACATTTCGTAAGATTGGTGTTGACTACACGTATGTCATCTTGCTGATCTAACTATACTTACCATTGCTCAGCAAAAACTTTTGCCTCCGTGCTGCGATCCAGGCGGCATGTCTCAAGTCTGAACCAGCGGATGCGCTCATTGATTGACTGAACCTGAACGGGACGCCAAGAACGTGGCTGGTCCTGAAACCCGCGTCGTCGTCATCGAGCACAATCAATTCAATGCACTTTCAGTGTGCCCTAGTGGGGGGATCCAGCCAGTACCACCACTCCGGAAGTAAATTTTCCTGTCCGCCCGGATCCAGTCAGCATGACTGTGGCAACAGCCAATAGGCAAGTTCAGGCAGGGCCAGCGTGGAAGCAGTGCCAAAAGGGCCACCACTTTGCACTTCTAAGTACTCCAGCATTTCAAAAACTTTGCTGCTATTAGCAAAGTGACATGATGCATAGCGTGCTGCTACCACTGAGCATTTCTTTTCTCTCTCTCTGACAATGAGCTGTTCTTCTGTCTTCCTTCTTTCAGTGCTGGTAAACAAAAAC